CCGGTTCTGAGCGGAGTTTTGCGCGCCAAAGGTCAGTCTTGCCAAAAGTCACTTTGGCGCCCCCCCGAGGAGTTGCTCGAGCTCGAGCGCCAGAGAGAGGCGGCTGCCGCGGAGGATCTCCGTCGGGCTGAAGCCGCGGCGGCCTGGGAAGCGGCTGTGATGCCAGAGTGTGGACCCCCTGCTGGCGCCGTGCCGCCCAGTGCCATGGCCGCCGTGCGGGCGGCGGCGGCGGCGGCCGCCGCAGTGGGCGAGCCGGACTCCGACGCAGAGCTCTTCGGCCCCTGGGGCGAGGGCGGCGGGCCCGACGCCGCGCACGAGCAGGACGGGGGCGCGAACGAGCAGGACGGGGACGCCGGCGTCGCCGGCGCCAGCACCGAGGGCGAGCAGCCTGGCAGCGGGCTGGAGGGCCCCGCAGAGCCGGAGGTGGCGCCTGCAGCGCATGCCCTCGGCGTGTGGTGCGAGGACGAGCCGGCTAACCCAGGGGGCGAGGCGGCGTGCGCGGCCGCCGTCGCGGTGGCTGCGCCCGCGGCCGCGGGGCCAGCATCTTCGGCGGCTTCGAGTATGTCGGCCGCTGCTGCCTTCGAGGCGGCTGTGCTGTCGGTGGGGGGGCCCTCGCCGAAACGCCAGCGCGTCGGTGCAGCAGAGGGCGCAGCAGGAGGTGGAGGTGCACCAGACGGCGCAGGAGGAGCCCGGGCGCCGCGGGGCGCGCGCGCCGCCCCCATCGGGGACGAACACTTCACGGATTTGGCCCCGGGGGGCGCCGGGGTGGTCACGGGCATCAGCCTTCGCTGCCCTCGGTGCCGGTGCCCTGATTCAGGGACGGCGAGGAGGAGGAGAAGGGCGAGGGAGAAGGGGGAGGACGGGACAAAGCAGGAGGAGCAGGAGGAGGAGGAGGAGGAGGAGGGGGAGGAGGAGGGGGAGCCTGGGGGGCGGAGGGAGGAGGACGAGGAGGGAGGAGGAGGACGAGGAGTAGGAGGAGGGAAGTACTAAGCTGTGCTCCCGCCCCAAATCCTGTCCCCCGGGGGTGCCCAGAGGTCATTGGAGGGCCCCGGAGGCCCACCGAGGCCCGAAAAAGGGCAAAAAAACATCGGAAAACTGACAGAAAAAAAAACGTATGACCCCCCTTGGATCCCCGGGGGCCGGGGGAAAAACGCAGTAGAGGGAACACAGAGAGGTATTCGCGGAACCTCACCTACGCGAAGCAGTTCTCCCGCGCCGAGGCGATTGCGAGGCTCCGGCGCTGGGCCGAGGCGTGTCCGGGGGCGCGAGAGGAGCACAAATGGTTGGGGCAGGTGCCCCTGCTGGCCGACTATGCGAGCCCATCCGTGTAGCAGGCCGACGCGCCAGCTCGGTGGCAGCCCCAAGGGGGTGGCAAGATGTGGGTCGTCCTCAAGGAGGGCGGGGGGTGGTCTCAGAAACCCTCGGCGGCTGCCGCCGATGGCTTCTAAGAGATCCCCCCGCCCTCTGTGAGGACGACCCCCCTCTTGCCACCCCCTGTGGGCAGCGACCGATCACCGGCTCCGCGGCGGAGCGGTTCCTGTGCCCCTGTGTCAGCGCCAAAAAAGTATTGCTCCGCGGCGGAGCGGTTCCTCTGACTGCCGCGTCGTGCCGTGCCGCGCCCAGCCGTGCTCTCGGGAGAATAAGAGAGCAGCAAAGGCCCCCAGATGGGGCCCATGTACCCTGCCGTCCCCGCGTGGCCTGGGCGAGAGCTGCACAAACAGGCTGCCGTGTGTCTTTCCAACGCTCGGTCCTCGCACTTCGTGCGGATGGGCACGCCTGCCACCCGCATGTGTATCCAGCGAGCCGTGCGTGTCCTTTCCGAGGAATGTTTGTGTCGCGTCGTCCACCTTGGCTGCAGGGAGCAGTGCGTGTGTGTGCGTGTGTGTGCGTGTGTGTGTGTGTGCGTGTGTGTAAGTTTCTGTGCGTGCGTGTGTGTGTGTGTGTGTGTGTGTGCGTGCGTGCGCGCGCGCGTGCGTGCGCGCGTGTGGTTTTTAGCCCAACCAGGCTTCATGGCTCAAGTGTCCCTTTGGTTCAAGTGGTCCTCGACGGCTACGTGGCGCGCGGCGCTCCGGTGCCTGCGGTGCGCCGCAACTTCCCGGGGCAATTCGTGCACTACCACCGTGCCGACCAAGGCGCTGTGAACGCCCCGTGTCCCCGCTGCGACTGGTTTAGTGGGAAGGCCTCACGGCCGGCGCCGCCGACGTTGGGCGCCAGGGTGAGGGGGGATGAGGAGGAGGAGGACGAGGAGGAGGAGGAGGGGGAGGAGGAGGAGGACGAGGAGGAGGAGGAGGAGACAGGAGAGGTGTGCCTGTGGTGTACACAGGCGATGTTGTGCATGCGCCTTGTGGCGATCGCAGCTACCAGGCCCTTTCGCTACATGGATACCAACAACAATAGCAACATTTGCAGTGCAGAACCGCATTCGAGCAGCCGCGGGCGACTGCGTTATGTTATGTGGCAGCGAACCCACCCACCCACCCAGCAACATAACGCGCGTTATGTGTTTTCAAAAAAACTTAATTTCCAGGCCCCCAGCTCGCCCGAAGACGCGCTCAGAGGCCCCCAGGAGGGCTCACAAAAAGCCCCACAGACGGCCCAAGACGCACCCAAGACAGCCCCAAGAGCAGTTCAAAATAGCCCTGGACGGCCCCAGCGCCCCGTCTCCAAGACGGCTGTGCAGGCCCCCACCGCCCCGTCTCCAAGCTTTTCCATCTGCACAGTCTCCCAGACGACTGTACAGGCCCCCAGATCGCCCCACCCAAAACCTTGCCTGCATTCCTCGCCCACCTCCCCCTCCAGCTGCCACCTCCTCCACCCACGCGGTCCCCTCCAACCTCCCCTCGCCTGCGAGGCCCCGGAGACGCTCCACTTCCACGTCCACGCCATGGCGGGCAGATTCCGCGGCCAGAAGGCCGCGGGTCAGCCCTAGTCATCATCATCATGATCATCATCATCATCATCATCATCATCATCATCATCATCATCATCATCATCATCATCATCATCATCATCTGTACTACAATTCTGGGCGAAGCGCGCGCGAGAAGTACAAGCAGTGGCAGCGGCCTGGGCCGCCCAGAGAGCTCGCGGGCCGCCCGGAAAGCCTCCGGGCCGCTGCCCGACGGGCCCTGGAGGCCCCCGGACCGCTCGCGGATTGATCCAGGATTCCCAGATCGCCCCAAGACGGCCTCAGGAGGTCCCGAAGACGGCCCAAAACGGTCCAAGAGTGTATCCGAGACGCTTAAGATGGCTTCAAGACGCCTTCAAGACGGCCCGACGAGACGCCTCCACGAGGCCCCCACAGCGCTCGAAGTGTACCTCCAAGAGGGGCCGCAGAAGCCAAAATCGCTGATTTTCTTTATTTTTTGTTCAATGCTTCTGGCCTTCTCGCTTTTTCGACTTACCGACGCTCCAAGACCGCCCGAGAGGCCCCCAAGACCATTCCAAAACGGCCCAAGAGGCCTTCAAGACGGCCCCAAGACGGCCCAAGAGGGCCCCAAGACGGCCCAGGAGTCGCCCAAGACGGCCCAAGAGGGAAGAAGGCCCCAAGAGGGCCCAAGACAGGGACCCGGAACCGAAAAATTGAGGCCTCCACCCCACGAGGCCCCCAGGAGGCCCCAAGACGCCCCAAAGAAACGCCGGGACGCTCCCAAGACATCCCCAGGAGGCCCCAGGACGCCCCACAGAGGCTCCAAGAGGCCCCCCAGAGGCCGCCAAGCGCCCCGAAAGGCCCCCAAGAGGCTCCAAAAGAGGGCCCAAGAGGCCCCAAGACGCCCCCAAACTGCTACCGAGAAGCCCCCAAACTGTCCCACAGGCTCCCGAGAGGCCAACCACGAGATCCCAACCAACATCCACGAGATCTCTTACCCATTACCCAGGCCCGCGGCGAGATTGCCCGCAGGCCACTACAGCCGGTTCGGGAGCCCTACGTATACCAGCACCCGCACCCTTGGTTGTATCGGGGGCCTCACCGCTGCTCTCTCGGTTCTGCTGGCTTCGACCTGCCAGAGCTCTGAGCCGCTCCCCGACGCCCCCAGGACGCCCCTGGAGCGCTCCCCGACGGCTCCCGGACCCCTAAATCGCTCCAAGACGGCCCCAAAGACGTCCAAGAGAGCCGAAGCCGATCCGGCCAGAGCCCCACGACGGCCTCGAAATGCTCCAGAGACGTGCCTCGAGGGCCCCGTGGACCATGCCTTGAGTTTGGGGTGATCGAGCACAGACCCAGCGCGATTAGCAAAAACCAATTCCTTTTCACGCTTCCAGGTCAGTGCCCCCGGGGACTGCTTTCTGAGATCGCCCCTGGACGTGGCCCCTTACACGTCGGCCCCACGCGTGGCCTCCAAACGGGACCCCCGAAGGCGGCCCCCACACAAAGCCTCCGAAGGTCGCCCCTACCGCCCCAGTAAGCGTGGCACCCGAACGTCAACCCCACGCGTAGCCCCCAGGCGCCCCCAAACGTGACCCCATGACAAACAGCCCCCAACCATTGCCCTCAAACGTGACCGTCACATCTGCCCCCGAACCCCGTACCCTCAAACGCGACCGTCACATGTGCCCCCGAACCCCGCACGCGGCCCCCAAACATGGCCCCCGGCAGGGCCGCGAACGTTGCCCCCAATCATGACCCCCTGACGAGACCCCCCAACGTGGCCCTCAAACGAGGCCCCCAAACGTAACACTCAACTCTGGCCCCCACGCGTCCACCCCCCACATCGAACTTCTCGCGCACAGGGACTCTGTAAGATCGTTCGGGCCCCCTTACTCTGATTGTTTCTGAAAACCTACGTGTTTCTGCTAATCGCGCCCAGGCCTCGCGCGATTAGCAAAAACACATTACTTTTGACGCTTCCAGCGCTTCCGACACGTGCGCGTTCGGGACCAACGCCTGGACCTGCGGGCCGTGGATTTTCCACGGGTTCACACTAGTCAGCTACAGCGCTGGGATCAGTGCGTGCGAGAAGGGCGAGCAGTGGCAGCGGGCCCTGGCGCTGCTGAGTGAGATGTGGGAGGCGAATCTGAATCCCGACGCCATCTGTACTACAATTCCGGGCGAAGCGCGTGCGAGTACGAGAAGCAGTGGCAGCGCCCCGGGCCGCCCAGGGAGCCCGCGGGCCGCCTGGAGAGCCTCCGGGGCGCTCCTCGACGGCCCCAGGAGGCCCCTGGAGCGCTCGCCGACGACGACTCCAGGACCCCCAGATCGCCCCAAGACGGCCTCAGAGACGCCCACGAGGGCCGAAGCCGACCCGACTCGAGCTCCTTGACGGCCAGAAAAGCTTCAGAGACAGCCCCCGAGGACCGCCTGGACGGCGCCAAGGGGCAAGATTTGCGCGTTTTCCGAAGGTTTCGACGATTTTCTTGTTCCCGCCATTTCGGGCCCACAACAGCCCAGGATGGCCCCGCGGGCTTGCCACATCGCCCCTGCACGGTCCAAGAAGGCCCTGGGAGAATCCCCAGACGGCCCAAGAAGCCCCGTAGACGGCCAAAGAGGGCCCCAAGACGGCCCAAGAGAGCTTCAAGTGACCCCCAAGTCAGCCCCAACCAGGCCCCAGATCCTGCCCGAGCGGGCCCAAAGCGACTTCCGACACGGCCCGAGACCCCCAAGATGGCTGCAAGACGCCCCAAGAAGGACCCAAGATGCCGCCCAAGAGGGCCCAAAGCGACCTCCGAGACGGCCCGAGACCCCCAAGATGGCCCCCGAACGCCCCAAGAAGCCCCGGACACGGTCTCAGAGGGCCCCAGCCACGGCCTCCGAGCCCCAGGACTTCTCGCCGATTCTGATCCCACCTTCCCATCGACTCTTCTACCTTCTGGAGACTTCGGCAGCGTTCGGGCCCCCACTTCAAAGCTAATTAGGGGTCGCGGGGGAACCTCCAGCGATCTCGGGACCCTTCCACCAGCACCAGAACACTTCTCCCTGCTGGCGTCTCCTCCATCGCGCAGCCCTGCGACAACCTGCCCGCCTACGGCCACACGCTGCACCCGCACCTCTGCGGAGGTCGTCGCGCGCGGCCGCGAAGAGGCCGCTCGGGACGACGACGCCGACGTCGCCGACGACGACCATGACGACGTCGACGACGTCGACGACGACGACGCGGGGACGACGACGACGACGATGGCAATGGTGACGACGACGACGATGACAACCGTGACGACGACGACGACGGCGGCGACGACGATGACAACCGTGACGACGACGATGACGACGACGATGACAACGGTGACGACGACGACGACGATGACGATGACCACCGTGACGACGACGATGGCGACGACGATGGCACGACGATGTCGACAACGGCGGCGGCGGCAGCAGCGGCGGCGGCGGCGACGGCGGCGGCGGCGTCGATGAGTGCGGCGGTGGCCGCGGAGCGGCGTCGCTGCCGCCCTCGAGGGGGGCCCCTGGACGAGGCGACGAGGCCACGAGGCTCCTTCCCACAGCATCACTGGCCCAAGGGCGAATACGAACAACACCTTCCTTGGCATCGCTCGGACGTGTGCATGTTTCCTCCAGCGAGGACCATCGAGGAGCATCCTTCATCATCTGGCGAAAAACCACGCACGAAACCGAAAACAACACAGTGAATGGACGTCCGAGCGATGGCCAGCTTCCGTATTGCGCAAGACGCAGTACCCCGCATTCGCAGATCAGAGCGAGGGGCCAGAGGCGTCCGCGGAGACCGGCTTCCCACGTGCCCCCAAGACGCGACCTCCCTGCGCGGCCCGCAAGCGTGGCCCCCACACTCGGACTGCGCCCGAGTACCCTGGCGTTTTCACCACTCGCGCCCAGGCCCGGCGACGATTCGCGAAGCCCATTCCTTCTCGCGTTGCCAGGTCAGCGCCCCCGGAGCTCCCCGACTGCTTCCAAGGGTCGCCCCTGACGTCGGCCCCTCGCGTGGCCCCCAAACGGAACCCCCAAAAGGCGGCCCCCGCGCGAAGCTCCCGAAGGGCGCCCCTGCCGCCCCAGCAGGCGTGGCCCCCGAACGCCACCCCCGCGCGTAGCCCCCGGGCGCCTCCGAGCGTGGCCACCGCGCGCAGCCCCCACCGTTGCCTCCGATCGCGACCGTCACCTGTGCCCCCGAGCCCCGCACGCGGCCCCCGAACGTGGCCCCTGGCAGGGCCGCGACCGTGGCCCCCAACCAGGACCCCCTGACGAGACCCCCCGAACGTGGCCTTCCAACGAGGCCCCCCAGACGCAGCCCCCGACTCTGGCCCCCACGCGCCCACACCACACCCTACATCGAATTCCTCGCGCACAGGGACACCGTAAGACTGTCCTGGCCCCCTGAATCTGACTGTGTCTGAAATCTTACTTTCCTTGGACGGCGCAGACCTCCCCGGGATGTACGAAGGCAGCCTCCAGCACCGGCTCCCAGAGCCTGCAGCAAGCCATGCAAACATTTCAGGGGTGACAGGGGGACTTTTTGACAGCAACCTCACAGCACGCACGCGCAATAAGTTCCCTGGGCTCTCTCCCAGAAGAGGCCTTCGGGACAGCCTGGAACGGCCTCAGAGGCACCCAAAAACCGCAAGAGGCGTTCAGGACGCCCCAGACCGGCTCGCAGAAGGGCCCAACATGTCCCCAACATGGCCCCAGGGATGCCCGAGCTGTTCAATTTCGACGAGCTGTTCACCCACGGCGTGCGAGCCCCAGGTTCAGCACGCCGTGGATGTCATCCACGGGTTCACACGAGTTATGCTACAATGCCGGGGGCCGTGCGTGCCAGAATGCCGCAGGATCAATGAAGTCAAAGCCGCCCCGGGCTGTCCCCAGGCCGCCCCAGGCCGCCCAGAGACGGGCCAAGAGGGCCCCAAGACGCCACCAAGACGGCCCAAGAGTGCCCCGAGACGCCCAATGATCGGGCCAAGACGCGCAAGATTGGTCCAAGGACGGCCCAAGAGGTCTCCAAGTCGGCCCAAAAGGCCCTTCAAGAGGGCCCCGAGAGACAAACTTCGTTGAATTTCATTGTTTTTTCTATGGTTATCACGGTCTCTCTTTGTCGGCTTCCCGACGCTCGAAGGCCGCCCAAGAGGCTCCCAAGACCGCTCCACGACGGCCGAAGAGGCCCCCAAGAGAGCTCCAAGACGGCCCAAGAGGGCCCCATGACGGTCCAAGAGGCGCGCAGGAGAGCCCAAAATGCCGCCAAGAAGGCCTCAAGAGAGGCCCAAGAGAGGGACCACAGACTAAAATATCCAGCTACAGTGGGGGCGTTGACCTAAGGAACCCAAAATAAGGAACGAGGCACCCTTTTTTTTCCATAAGTTAACCTTCGATAGGGTTCCTTCTCCAGCGCTCCGACTGTATCCGCCCTCAGAAGGCCCCGGGAGACCCCAAGAGGACTCCAGGAGACCCCAAGGGGCTCCCGACGGGCCCCGGCAGACCCCAGGAGGCTCCCAGGAGAGCCCCAAGACGGGCCAAGACCGCCCCAGCACGGCCCAAGGCGCGCTGAAGACGGCCCAAGACGGCTCCTAGGCGGCTCCACGAGGGTGCGCACACGGCACCAGACGGGTCCAGCACGGCCCCCCCTCCGACGCGTCCACGACGGCCGCAGAGCCCCCCACGATCGGCCCAAGATGCCCCTATCAGGGCCCAAGACGCAGACAGCCCCAAAGACGGTCCAATACTGCCAGCAGACGGCCCAATGGGCGCCCAAGACGGCCCACGACGGCCCTAAGACGGCCCAGAAGGCACCCAAGACAGCCCCAGGAGCCGCCCAAGACGGTCCAAGACGGCCCCCGGACCGCCCAAGAGGTGCCCAAGACGGTCCAAAACAGTTCCGACACGGCCCAGACGGCACCGACGAGAGCCCAAGAGAGTCTCCAGAGGCCCCCTCGAAGCCGAGGGGGTGACCGCCATGTGGATAGCTTTTCGGCAGCATTCCCGCCGCTCCCCCGAGAATACTCTCGGCCAGATGTCGTGGACGGAGTCCACGGGTCAGCCCAAGTCAGCTACAATGCTGGGATCAGTGCGTGCGAGAAGGGCGAGCAGTGGCAGCGGGCCCTGGCGTTGCTGAGCGAGATGCGGGAGGCGAATCTGGAGCCCGACGTCATCAGCTACAATGCTGGGCTCAGTGCGTGCGAGCAGGGCGAGCAGTGGCAGCGGGCCCTGGCGATGCTGAGCGAGATGCGGGAGGCGAATCTTGAGCCCGACGTCATCAGCTACAATGCTGGGATCAACGCGTGCGCGAAGGGCGAGCAGTGGCAGCGGGCCCTGGCGCTGCTGAGCGAGATGCGGGAGGTGAATCTGGAGCCCGACGTCATCTGTCTTACAATGAGCCCCTGTGTTCGCGGATGGGGAGAGCGGTGGCATTTGACCGGCCCCCTCTGGCGGCCCCTGCGAGCCCCAGCAAGCCCTGTTACGCTTCCAAGATGGCCCACGAGCGCTCCTGAGACGCACCAGGAGGCCCCCAAGAGGGCCCCCAGTCGGCCGGAGACGTTCCAAGGGGGTCTCCGAGATGCGCCCAGAGCGCCCGACAACGCCTCAGAAAGCCTCCAGACGGCCCAAGAGGCTTCCAAAACGTCTCAAGTGGGCTGGCTCCACGACGAGCCCCAAGAGAGCCCGCACACCGAAAAACCGCCCCATTCCCTTGGGGAAACGTGCATTTTGGCAGTTATCAGGCTTGCCCTCTACATAGCGTCCATCGGGGGAGGCCAAGAGGGGGGTGATGAGTGTGGGGGGGGATGTCATGGCGTGGGCAATGATATTTCCTCCGATTTCGTGGCGCCTCTTCTTATTTCATTACGTCCCTAGCCCCCCCCCTGGGCCGCGCACGTGCCGCTGGCTATGATTATATGGGCTTATGCCATATCCGCGGACCCCGATAAACTACTGTGCATCCAGGACTGCATTTCACGAGGCTTGTCCGAATTATGACATGGCGCTCGACATCGTTCCTGTTGCTTCGTTGCTGTTATCGTACCTCTTGGTGCTCTTTTGTGCTCTTTTGGTGGCATCTTGGCCTGTCTGCAGGCCATACCCGGCCTCCTCGAGGCATCTTGGGCCCAAGTTTTGGGGCCTCTGGCTTCCCCGGGGCTTCTCGGAAGCCTTTAAGGTTCTCTTGGGGGTCCCTGGCTTCTTGGGGTCTTGGGGCGTCTTGGGGCCGAAGGCTCGAAAAGGTGCCCTTCGGACTTCCTCTTGGAGCCGTCTGGGGGCCCTCTTGGGCTGTCATGGGGGCTTCGTGGGCTGTTTTTGGACCCTCTTCGACCCCTCTTGGGGGCCCCTTTCGGCTGTCTGGGGGCGATCTTGAAGGTTTCTTTGCCCGTCACGAGAGTATGCGAAACATGCTTCTTTTGTTTTCAAAGGGAATGGGACGATTTTTGTTTCTTGGGACCCTCTTGGGGCGCATCTCGGGGGTCTTTCGGGGCGTCTTTGCAGCTTCGGAGGCCGTCTGGAGGCTATCGTGGGCGCTAAGGAGCGATATTTCGGCGACTCGTGGCCCTCTGGGACCGTCTGGGGAGCGTTTTGGTACCTTCTTGCTCCCTCGTGACGCGTTCGGTTCGGGGTCGGGCCGGGCCAGTCAAATTGGCAGTTTGGGGTCCCTGGGGGGGATTATGACAATCTCACACGCCTAGAGACCCACAAGGAGTCGGCGGATTTGCGCCCCCCCCTCTGAGACGCCCCCCTCTTGGCCGCCCCCGAGTCCAAGACGGCCATACAGGGTCCCATGATGGCTATACAGGACGGCTCCCGAGGCGCCCCTTCGCGGCCCGCGGAGTATACCCAAGACAGCCTCGAGAGCGGCCCAGGACGGCCCCAGAGGACCCCCAGACTGCTCCAGAGGCACCCAAGACGGCCCCAGACAACCCCCAGACGGCCTCGGACGGCCTCAACACGGCCCAAGAGGCACCCGAGACAGCTCAAGAGGGCCCCAGGAGGCTTCCGGGAGGCCGAGAAGGAGCGGTGAGAGGCTCCTGAACGATCCCCAGAGGCCCCAAGATGACGGCCCAATAAGCACCGAAGACAGCACCAACAGCAGCCAAATACGGCCTAGGACGGCCCGAAGACGGTCCCAAGACGGCTCCAAGCGCACCATGGAGCTCTTCGGCATTCCTGACGCTTGTTTGGCGTTTCCTGCCGGATTTGGCCCAAAATCCTTCGCCCTTTTATGTCGGTCTGGAGCCCTCTCCGCGGCCTCTTGAGGCCATGCCGTGTTTCGCTCTTGCAGCCCTCTCGGGGGCCTCTTGTGCCAGCATGCGGCCACTTGCAGGCGTCTGATGCGATCTTGGGCCGTCTGGAGCAGTTTGTTGCCGACGTCCCAAGTGATGTGTGGGGCCAGTTGGGAGGCGTCTGACGCGATCTTGGTCCGTTTCAGGCTGTTTTGGGCCGACGTTCCAATCGATGATGACGACGATGATGATGATAATGATGGTGATAACGATGAGGATGATGATGATGATGATGCTGATGATGATGATGAACATGATGATGATGAACATGATGATGATGAACATGATGATAGTGATGATCATGATCATGATCATGATCATGATCGTGATCGTGATCGTGATGGTGATGGTGATTGTGATGGTGATGGTAATGATGATGAAAATGAGGATGTTTGTGCGTATGCTTAGGATTATGATCAGGATTCTGATTATGATTCGGAGTATGATGATGATGATGATGATGATGACGATGACGATACGATGATGAGGATGAAGATGGTGAAGCTGATTATGATGATGATATTGATGACGTTGACGATGATGACGATGATGGCGATGACGATGACGATGATGATGATGATGATGATGAGGATGCTGAGGATGATGAGGCTGATGATGATGATGATGATGATGATGATGACGATGACGATGACGATGACGATGATGACAATGATGGCGATGACGATGATGATGATACTCATGATGATGATGCTGATACTGATGATGATGATGATGATCATCATCATCATGATGCTGATGATGATGATGATGACGATGAGGGGGAGGATGATGAAGTTCCCAAGAGTGAACGGTGCCACGAGCCATCTCGACCCAGTTTCTGACTCCGTGCCCAGGCTCCGCATGGGGCTCTTCGGCTTCCCTGACGCTTCTTTGGCGCTTCCTTCGGGATTTTGCCCAACATCCCTGTTACTTTTGGTCGGTCACGTGCCCTCTCCAGGGCCTCTTGCGGCCCTGACGTGTTTCGCTCTTGCAGCCCTCTTTGAGGCCTCTTGGGCCATTCTGGGGCCATCTTCGAGTCGTCTTGGACGATCTTGGAGCAACCTTGGGGCCGTCTCGGGCCGTATTGGGGCGATATTCCAAATGATGTGACGAGGATGGTGATAATGATGGTGATCATGATGATGATGACGATGATGATGATGGTGGTGGAGGTGGTGATGAGGATGATGACGATGACGATGATGATGGTGCTCATGATGATGCTGCTTATGATGATGATTATGTTGATTATGATGATGATGCTCATGACGCTGAAGATGATGATGCGGAGGATAATGATGATGCTGATGCTGATGCTGATGCTTATTATGATGATGATGAAGAAGAATGTTCCCAAGAGTGATCAATGCCATGAGCCATCTCGCCCCAGTTCCTCACTCCCAGTCCAGACCGGGCTCCGCATACGACTCTTCGGCCTTCAAGACACTTGTTTGGCGCACCATGCCGGATTTGGTCCACATTCCTTCGCTTTTTTCTCTTGGGGCCCTACTGGGGGCCTCTTGGGCCAGCATTGGGCCATTTCGGAGGCGTCTGACGCGATCTTGGGCCATCTGGGGCCGCTTGGGACCCACGTTCCAAATGATGTATGGGGCTTCTTGGGAGGCTCCTGCCGCCATCTTGGGGCCGTCTTGTGCTGACGTTCCAACTGATTCGACGACGATGATGATGATGACGATGACGATGACGATGACGATGACGATGATGCTGATGATGATGATGACGATGATGAGGATGATAATGATGATGATGATGATGGAGGTGATAAGGACGATGATGATCATGGTCATGGTGATTGTGATGGTGATATTGATGGCGATGATGATGATGACGATGATAGTGATGATGGTGGTGAGGGTGTTGATGGTGGTGATGGTTAATCTGATGATATGGATGATGGTGATGATGATGCTGATGATGATGCTGATGATGATGATGACGATGATGATGATTATTATTATGATGATTATGATGATGATGATGATGATGATGGTGATGATGGTGATGATGAAGATGAAGATGATGATGATGATGATGATGATGATGATGATGATGATGATGATGATGATGATGATGATGAGCATGATGATGCGGCTGATGATGAGGGGGAAGATAATGATGAGGAAGTATCCCAAGAAGGAACGGCGCCGCGAGCCATTTCGAATCAGTTCCTGACTCCGTGCCCAGGCTCCGCATGGGGCTTGACGCTTGCTGGGCGCTCCATGCTGGACCCTTGGGGGGTCTGTCCAGACGGGTCTCTCTCCCCGAATCGATGATTGAAGGTCCCGGAGCCCGAAAACAGCCCCCAGAGGATCACACCTTCGACAAACCTCCTCGAACTTCCACCTTCCTCGCCCATCTTCTTCCTCCTTTCTCGCCCCTCGCTATTCGTTGATCGCACATCGCTCCTCCTCCTCGATCTCCGCTCACAGCAACAGCAAGCAACAGCAGCAGCAGCAGCAGCAGCAGCAGCAGCAGCAGCAGCAGCAGCAGCAGACAGCAGCAGACAGCGGGCAGCAGCACGCAGAAAGCAAAATTGCCGTCAGCAGCACCCTGCAGCACCAGCAGCCAGCAGCAGCACGCAGTAGCATGCGCGGGCAGCGAAATTCGCACCACGTGATGATGTCAGCATTTGAACAGCATGTTCAGCACCACATGCCAGTTCGTGCTGAATTCGTGGACGTAGTCCACGGGTCAGCCCTAGTCAGCTGCAGCGCTGGGATCATCGCTTGCGAGAAGGGCGAGCAGTGGCAGCGGGCGCTGGCGCTGTCCAGCCAGATGCTGGAGGCAAAGCTGGAGCCCGATTTCATCAGCACCAATGCTGTGCTCAGCGCTTGCGGGAAGGGCGAGCAATGGCAGAGGGCACTGGCGCTGCTCAGAGAAATGCGGGATGCGAAGTTGGAGCCCGACGTCATCTATACTACAATACTGGGCATTTGCGCGTGCGACAAGAGCGAGCGATGGTCACCCGCGGCGGCGCCCAGGGCGCCCCGCTGGTGGGGTGACGCCGTCCCGGCCCTGGACAGCCCCGGGACGGCCCATGAGGGCCCCGACGCGGAGGCCCAAGACGGCCCAAGAACCCCCTCAGACGGCCCCAAGGGACGCCCAAGAGGGTCTGGTTCGGAGCGCTCCCCCCCCTCCGGGCCCCTCCACGGCCAGCAAGGCTCCTAGACGCCCCCGAGAGGCCCCCAGAAGGCCCCGGAGGCGCTCCTAAGAGGCCCCCAGAAGGCCCCCCCGAGGCGCTCCCAAGAGGCCCCCGGGCGCTCTCCAGAGGCTCCCAGAAGGCTTCAGAGGCGCTCCCAAGAGTTCTCCAGAGGCTCCAAGCGATGTTCAGCACCACGTGCCAGTTCGTGCAGAATTCGTGGACGTAGTCCACGGGTCAGCCCTAGTCGCTTCTACAATGCAGCGCCTCCTGCGTGTCAGAAGGGCCTGTGTCTTCATGGTGCTTTCTTTGGCTCTCGCAGGCCCCCAGAGCTAAAAGGCACGGCCTGGGCACTCCAAGGCAGCCCAAGAGGGTCCCAAGACGGTCCAAGACTGTCCGAGACGCTTCCAGACGGTCCAAGCGGTCCAAGACTGTCCGAGACGGCTTAACAGTGCCCCAAGATGGCCCAAGAGCGGCTTCAAGAGGCCCCCCACGCGGGCCCCGAGAGGCGAAAATCATTGACAAACCTCAGTGTTTCAAGGATGTTGAAGTGCTCGCCTTTTCGGGCCAACATCGCCTCAAGATGGCCCAGGAGGTCCCCAAGAGGGCCGAATCGGTCCCGAAGACGGCCCATGACGGCCTCAAGAGGGCGACCTCCTCCTCCTCCTCCTCCGCCATCCTCCTCCTCCTCCGCCTCCTCCTCGTCACCCAAGAGGGCCCCAAGAGGGGGGAACTCGAACTGACATTCTGCACCAAGCCGCCCCAAGACGAGGACCCCCGGCACCGCCGGCAGCCCAGCCAGACTCCATACTCCATAAGTCCCAGGAGGCCCAGGAGGCCAAAAGCAGGCTCCAAGAGGTCCCCAAGAGCCTCCTCGTCCTCCTCCTCCTCCTCCTCCTCCTCCTCCTCCTCCCCCTCCTCCTGTAGCTCCTCCTCCTCCTCCACCTCCTCCTCCTCCACCTCCCCCTCCTCCTCCTCCTTCTCCTCCCCCTCCTCCTCCTTCTCCTCCTCCTCCTCCTTCTCCTCCTCCTCCTCCTCCTCCTCCTCCTCCTCTTCCTCCTCAGAGGCTCCCGAGGCCCCAAGACACCCCCTTAACCGCCGACAAGAGGCTCCCGAGGATAGATCCCCTGCACAGCTCCACGACCGCGCCAGCCACGCACAGAAGCCGCGACCCAAGAGGAGACCCGCTGTTCGGCCATACGCGCGCCGAGGCCATGGAGACGTTCGGCTGCCGGCCTCTTCTCGTGCCCCCCCTCCTCGCTCCTCGCTCCTCGCCGCTCTTTCATCGCTCCTCGCCTCGTTCTCTCTCTCTCTCTCTATCCTTGCTCCTGGCTTCTCTCTTCTTCCTCCTCTTCGCTCCTCCCATCTCTCTCCTGGCCCCCTTGTTTTTTCCCTACCTAGGCTCTGCCTAGAAGGGTTCTTACTCTCTTAGCTTAAAGGGGCCGGGCAGTGGAAATCGCCCCGGGCGGTTCCCCCAGTCCCCGCCCCGCGGTTCCCCCCAGTCCCTTGGGAGCTTTAGCTTTAGCTTTAGCTTTAGCTTTAGCTTAGCTTTAGCTTAGCTGAAGCTTAGCGTTTCGCTTAGCGTTTTGCTTAGCTTTCGCTTAGCGTTTAGCTTAGCTTTAGCGTAGCTGTAGCTTAGCTTGAGCTTAGCTTGAGCTTAGCCCCAGCTTAGCTTTAGCTTAGCTTTAGCTCAGCTGTAGCTTAGTTTTAGCTTAGCTTTAGCTTAGCTTTAGCGTAGCTGTAGCTTAGCTTTAGCTTAGCGTTAGCCTAGCTTTAGCTTAGCTTTAGCTTAGCTGTTGTTCAGCTTTAGCGTAGCTTTAGCTTAGCTTTAGCTTAGCTTCAGCTTAGCTTTAGCTTAGCTGTGGCATAGCATAGCCTAGCCCAGCATAGCATTGCGCAGCATAGCATAGCATAGCAGAGCAGAGCAGAGCATAGCATAGGATAGCATAGCATAGAGGTTGCTTTCCTAGAGGCTCCAACTCCTAGGTAGGGTCGCACTGGGATATATATATATATATATATACATAGATATATTCCCTACCTAGGCTCTGCCTAGAAGGGTTCTTACTCTCTAGCTTAAAGGGGCCGGGCAGTGGAAAGCGCCCCGGGCGGTTCCCCCAGTCCCCGCCCCGCGGTTCCCCCCAGTCCCATGGGAGCTTTAGCTTTAGCTTTAGCTTTAGCTTTAGCTTTAGCTTAGCTTTAGCTTAGCTTTAGCTTAGCTTTAGCTTAGCGTTTCGCTTAGCTTGTCGCTTAGCGTTTAGCTTTAGCTTAGCTTTAGCTTAGCTTTAGCTTAGCTTTAGCTTAGCATCAGCTTAGCTTTAGCTTAGCTTGAGCTTAGCTTTAGCTTAGCTTTAGCTTAGCTTTAGCTTAGCTTTAGTTTAGCTTTAGCTTAGCTTTAGCTTAGCGTTAGCCTAGCTTTAGCTTAGCGTTAGCCTAGCTTGAGCTTAGCTTTAGTTTAGCTTTAGCTTAGCTGTAGCTTAGCTTCAGCTTAGCTGTTGCTCAGCTTTAGCTTAGCTTTAGCTTAGCTTTAGCTTAGCTGTTGCTCAGCTTTAGCTTATCTTTAGCTTAGCTTTAGCTTAGCTTTAGCTTAGCTTTAGCTTAGCTGTGGCTTAGCTTTAGCTTAGCTGTAGCTTAGCTTTAGCTTAGCTTTAGCTTAGCTTTAGCTTAGCGTGACTGTTACTACTAATGCTGCTTTCCTAGGGGTTCCAACTCCTAGGTAGGGTCGCACTGGGATATATATATATATATATATATATATATATATATATATATATATATATATATACATCTCTCTCTCTCTCTCTCTCCTTTCGGCGACCGCACGAGATCGGAAGCTGCGCGCCTCGCACCAGCCAAGTAGCACTGAACGCAATTCACAGCACGTCCCCCGCCACGCAGGCCATCCACGGCCACTGTCGCTGTCCGATCCTGCTCCCCAGAGGCCTCTCGGGATGTCTCGTGCGACGAGCCACCCCCACGGGGTACAGCGAGCGGGCGGCGCACGCAGGGTCTGAGCCTGCCCTTCGCCGCAGGCCCTGGTCGCGTGCTCTCCAGAAGCATCAGGAGGGAACAAGCAACACACACAGACACAATCCTTCGTCGACTCCCAGGAAAATTCGGGAACCTAGTTATGGGAAGTGGGGGGGACGGCAAAAACCCAGAACGTGTTGGAAACTATGGGGAATCCTGTTGTCTGCGTGTATTGATTTGTGTGTCCCAGGGTCCCTTCAAACCAAGCAACCCCGCAGCAACGCCCGAAGCACCGAACCCGATGCACGGAGCCGCAAGCAGCACACCACCTCGCACCGCAGGCCAGCGCGCCCTCACCCTTCCACACCATTCCACCGAGACCCGAGCACACCTTTCGCGTAGGCACAGTGAACGCACAACAGGCATGCTCGGCATGCTCCCCCTCGACTCTCCTGCACCCCCGCACCCAACGTCGTCCGCCGACCACCCGCCGAAGCGGTGGCCTGAATGTTCTGGCCTTTTCGCTGCCCCGCCCGCCCACCACTTCTTCTGACGCGGTGGCCGACATACCACGTGATCTTGACTGCCAGCGAGCAGGCGAGCAAGTGACGAAGCAACCAAGCAGGCACACAGGCAAGCCGACAGGCAATGCGGCATGTGATTCGGTACGTTGGCCATCATGCAAACAGTTACGCATGGTATACACCCATGCGCGCAGGGCATCGCGCAAACATGCCGACAGCAGGCAAGCGATTTGCATTCCTGCGCGCGAGTCAGCTGTCGTGGACGTCAGTCCACGGGTCCGTCGTAGTCAGCTACATCGTTGCGATCGGCGCGTGTGAGAGATGCGGCCAATGGCGGCCTGCGCTGTCGCTGCTCAGTGAGATGCGGGAGTGCGGTTTGGAGACGAACGGAATGAGTTACAACCTGTGCATCGCAGCGTATGAGAGATCGTCTCGCAACTCTGCAGGGTTTCCAGGCGATCTTGGGATCGTCCTTTCGCGTTTGCGCGTGTCTTGTGACACATCGTGCGATGGAGAACTTGGCAGTTGCCTTTCATCGCGCAGGAAGCCGCTTCGGATAACATTACACGGCTCCGCCTTGGTTGGTCGCAGCGGTGAGATCACCACATGTGAGAGAGAGACTTGTAGTGAAAGAGAGTCTTGCCGTTGTTCAGCGATGCATTGATTGTGAAGCTGGAGCCCAACTCCGACAGTTGCTCAGCGAGTTGCGGGATTCGACGTCGGAGCCCAAGGCCATCTGTACCAACTCTGAGCGAATCGCGTGCAATATATGAACGCGCTGTACTAGCTGTTGGGCCCCCGACATTGGCCCAGGACGCTCCAAGGACGCCCCAAGCGGCCTTCAAGACCAAGTCAGCTAAAATGTTGGGATCAGTGCGTGCGAGAAGGACGAGCAGTGGCAGCGGGTCCTTGCGAAACTGGAGCCCACCATAGGAGACCTACAAGGAGGAGGCAGAACAGCAGGGGGCGGAGGAGGAGGAGGAGGAGGAGGAGGAGGAGGGGGAGGAGGAGGAGGAGGAGGAGCTGGAGGAGGAGGAGGAGGAGGAGGAGGAGGAGGAGGAGGCGGAAGAAGACGACGCGGAAAGGAAAACGGTAAGCAGAGACCCACGTAGGTTCCAAGTCGGCCCCTGGGGTGCCCAGGACGGCCCAGGATGGTCAACGGCAAGAGGCCCAGACACGGCCCCCAAGCGGGCCCCACCTGGCCTCCGTCGCTTTCCCACCGAGTTCCAAGACAGTTGAAGATCGTTCTCACAGCGTCCAAGATAGCCTCCAGGCACCCGGGGATCTCCCACGACGCTCCCAGCCTCCGCCCTCCCCCCCACTCAGTCCCCCCCATCCCTCTCAATCCTCGTTTTTCCTTCAATCCCGCACTCGAGCATCTCTCTCCCGCGCCCGCCTTCTCGGTCCACCATCCCTCTCCTCTGTTCCTTCTTGTGGCGTAAGTTCCGCATGTTGTCTCCCAGTTTCGCCGTCAGGGCGTAATTAACGACGCGATCTCATCGTCTTCAACCTTAACGCTCGGCGATTGCAACGCGATCTACCAGACGTGCTGTGATCGGCTAGAACGTGAGCGCACGCGAAGCGCGCGAGATGGTGTGTACATATATGTACACATATGTATTATTCCCAGTCCCTCCTCCAGATTCGTCCGTGCGCCCCCCGCTCCTCCGCGCTCCTCCCGGTTCCTCTTCTTCACTCCTTGCCGCTCCTCCTCCTGAGACCCGAGTCTTGTCCACTCCACCCCACCATTCCGCATCCCCGCGCTCTTTTCGACACGGTTGCAGTTCTCACGATCATTCCGCCCCACCCTCCCAAAGTCCCGTTTCCTTTCAGGGTTCCACGAACATTGCTTCTGACACAGGTTCGCAGCTGTACATCCTTCCGTGGGGTACCCAGGATATGTTTGTTTTTGGTGTTCAAAAGGGTGGTACGTGGCGTTGTTTATGGCGCGACCCATGGCGAAAGTCATTGTTAACCTGTGTTGGAGTGGCTGGCGCAAGCCACGGCGCAAACTGAATCGCCACTCGCAGCGCAAATCATCGTATTCCTTGTTTCTTGCCCCTCGCCTCCCTTCCTCCGATCCCTTCGTCCTCATTCCCCCCCCCCCGTTATCTGTTACCTCTCGTTCTCAAGGGCTCCGCCAACCACGTGCGGCCGGGAATGAATGCACTCCCAAAAAAGGGGCACGATCGAAGACGAAGAGGGCGGGTACCCAGGGTTTGGGATATGCATATTTGGATGACACGCGAGCAGATAAGAGCGAACAGTCATTAGATGATTGTTGTTGTTGCGGTTGTTGTTCGTCGTTGTCGCCGTCCCACCCGCGACGCAATCCGCGACCCAACTTGTGATCCAACCCGCAACCGAACCCGCGACGCAACCCGCGACGCAACCCGCGACGCAACCCGCGACCCACCCGCGACCCACCCCGCGACCCACCCGCAACCCACCCGCGACCCACCCCGCGACCCATCCGCCACCCACCTGCGACCCACCCCGCGACCCACCCGCACCCTCCCCGCCACCCATCCGACACCCACTCGCCGACCCACCCGCGACCCAATTGCGACCACCTGCGACCGACCCACATTGGCTTAGCGAAAATAGCTACGCCCGCGGCGGGCTCTTTGTACACTTAGTGGAATTTCGGCTCTTGCGGCGGGCTTTCCATAGTTTTGCAGAATGTCGACGTCCCCGCCGCCCCCTCATTCTGATCCGCATATGCGGGGTGCTACGTATGTGTGCATCTATTTGTCGGACTAGTCCATTCAATATTCCCCGATTAGTTGTTCCAAAGCGAGAGTTGCGTTACTGTGCGCAAGTGGGGCGGGTGAGGTGGACGCTGATCAAACTTATGAGGTGATGAACGGAGGGGCGGGTGAGCGGGCGGGCGGCGGGCGGGCGGGCCGGCTGAGGGCGGGTCGGGTTTGGAGTCGGTTCCTTAAGGGTTCCCTGTTGCAGCCGGGGTTGGTTGAGTATTGGGTGTTGTCTTGGGGAAGGGGGTTGTTGACTGTAAGGTGTTGTCTTGGAGACGGAGGCTGTTGAGTACAGGGTGGGGCATGTTGCGCGGAAAGCGGGCGGGCGGCGGGCTGGCGGGCGGGCGGGTCGGGATGTTAATGAACGGTTTCGGGATGTTCTCTTGCAGTTGGAGCCTGGTGGGTACTGGGTGTTGTCTTGGAAACGGGGGCTGTTGACAACAGGGTGTTGCTTTGGAGACGGAGGTTGTTGAGCACAGGGTGGTGCATGCTACACGGTCGGCGGGCGGACGAGCGGGCGGGATGTTCGGGATGTTAATCAACTTTCCTTAAGGATTCGTTTTTTTTGCTCAGTGGGAGTTTGTTCAGTATTGGAATATGTCTTGGAGATGAAGGCTGTGGACCACAGCGTGTTTTCTTGGAGATGGAGGCTGTTGAGTACAGGGTGGTGCGTGTTACATGGAAGGCGGGCGGGCGGGCGGGTTGCGGGCGGGCGGGCGGCGGGTTTGTCGATCGGTATTTGAATTGATTATGTACGGGTTCCTCTTTGAAACGGGAGCTTGTTGACTATTGGGTGTTGTCTTGGAGACTGGGATTGTTGAGTACGTGGTGTCTTCTTGGAGACGGAGGCTGTCCCCTCAAGATTCATGGAACATGAAACGGATTGGTCTTTCCAGAAACCGCACGAAAACGTGGATATTCAGAACATTTCGTTGGGGGGAATTTGAAAGAATTATACATATGACTTTATATATATGTGTATATATACATATATCCTTCATACATACATATATGTAAACATGTGAAGAGCGCTGTAGAAACCGTGTCCCCACCCCAATCCGTAATTGGAGTCTTGTCTTCGGGTTAGGTTGGGGTGGGCCTTCCAATACTGCCCCCTGATGGCTTTATGACGGCCCGGGGCTGCCCCAAATTAGCACCCAGAGCCCCCACGGGACGCCACGTCAGCGAGTGCCCGAGAAGGTCCCAGGAGGGCCCCAAGATGGCCCCGCCTCACAGGCGGCCCCCCGGAGGGATCCAGGAACCCCCCAGGCGGCAAACGACCCGAGAAAGCCATGCGTGGAGGCACAGTTGCCTCGAGACCACAGCGGGGGGGCGGAGGGGGGATGGGGATGCAGCTCCTGGGAGGTCAAATTCTGATGTTGCCCTGATCTGGTCCGACATCCGGCTTAATCCTGCTGAGTCACGTTAAATCCGGCTTGATCCTGAGTCCGAGGCGGCGTAACAGCCCCCCAATGGGGCTTAATCCTTCTTCGTCCTTCCGACGAGAAAACTCCCACAAGTTGCCTCCTAGGGAGGAGGCGGAGGAGGGAGGCCCGCGTCGGCCGGGGGGACTCCTCCCGCGCGAGCCCCAGACTTCTTCGGCCCAGCCCGCTGCGGGCCAGGGCGGCCGCGCCATGGTCGACCGATGCGTCGAGAAGGCCCTGGCTGCGTCTGGCATCGAGCAGGAGGCGTGCCGCGGCCCCCTCCTCCTCCTCCTCCTACTGCTGCTCCTCCTCCTGCTCCTCCTCCTCCTCCTCAACCTCCTCTCTCTCCTCTTCCTCCACCCCCGCCTCCTCTTCTTCCTCCTCCTCCTCCTCCTGACTCTCCCCCTCCTCCTCCTCCTCCCCCTCCTCCTCCTCATCCTCCTCCTCCTCCTCCTCCTCCTCCCTCTCCTCCTCCTCCTCCTCCTCCTCCTCCTCCTCCTCCTCCTCCTCCTCCTCCTCCTCCTCCTCCTCCTCCCCCCCTGTGGCGAGAAGCAGGTGTGCACTACGACGCGAGATGCCCTCTCTTTGCCGTCGCCCTCGCGACGACGCGCCCCAGCTGTGTGGGCTGGGGTGTGTATGTCTTCTCGTTCGTAGCTCAGCCCGGCTTCAGCACCGGCCTAAGGCTTGTGATTACGAATGCGGTTCCTGAACAGCTCAAGCGATGTGATTCCCCTTCCCCGCCTCACCCCTCCGTCCGAGGCACGATTCATCAATCATCATCGCCTGGGGGATCCGATCTTCAGGGACTTCGGTCAGCGGCTTGTGTTTATGTATATATATATATATGTATATATGTGTATATATATATATATATGTGTATCGAGTGGCACTCGGTCAGTACAGTCACCGTGCCTAGATTGTGGGTCAGGGGCGTGAGGGATGTTTCTTGGGGTCGCTTCGGGGCGCTCGCGGGGGTCTCTTGGAGACAGTTTTGATGTTCTTTGGGGCCTCTTGGTAGCCTCGCAGGGCCCTCTTGAGAGCCTCTCTGGGCCTCCTGGGGGCCTCTTGGAGCTCTTTAGGGCCTCTTGAGGTCTCCTGAGAGCCTTTCTGGGCTGAGGGCTCGAAATGCCCGTTCGGGTCCCGCCTGTGCCCTCTCTTGGGGCCGTGTTGAGGGCCTCTTGTGCCGTTTTAGATGATTCTTACGCCGTCTTAGGG